TTCTGTGGGGACACCGCCCCTTCCGCCTCTTGCCGAGGCGGCTCCGGCGGTAGCGGAGTCCCCGCGGGTGTGGGTACGGTGCGAGGGAGGGGGTGCCGAGCACCTCTGGGAAGGGGAAGGTGGGTGGGCACCCATGGGAGAGTGAGGGGTGGGCGGGGGTGCCGAGCAGCCGTGGGTGGGGAGTGGGGAGGTGCCGGGCGCTCGTGGCAGTGTTACGGGTGGGTGGGTGGGTAGGCGGGGGTCAGGGAGGGTGCTGGGGATGGGGTGCGATGGGGAGGGTGCTGAGCGCCCGTTTTAGGGGGCCCTGGGTGTCTCTAAGGGTGCTGAGTCCCTCCTGGGGGGTGCACAGGATATCCCCCCCTCCCAATGACATCCCGTACCCTCTCCCTCCCTCCCAGTTCTCCCATGGCCAAGCCGGGACACTCCTGGAGCCGCGCACCGGCAGGGAAGGAGGAGGAGGAGGAGGAAGAGGAGGGCGAGGACCCCCTGGATGCCAGGATCGCCCGGACAGGCTGCCTGGAGCAGCACCGGGAGCTGCAGGAGTGCATGGAGCAGCACCGGGATTGGCGGCACTGCCAGACACAGCTCCGGGCATTCGGAGCCTGCATGGCCCGGCGGGAACAGCGGGAACGGGGACAGAGCCGGGCACACCCTGCACAGTGACACTCCCCTGGAATGGGGGAGCTGTGCCTTTCAACCCCCCTTTTTTTTGTGTGTGTGATTTTTTTTCTCTTTTTTTTTTTTTTTTAAATCTAAGTGCCGGGAAATCCACGTGGGAAATTAAATCTGGGAATTGAATCGTCTTCATCTGTGCCAGCAGCAAAGTGGGAAGGTCAAAGAGGGGTTTGAAGGATGCGGCTTCAATCTGCACCAGGCTGGACATCAGGAGGAATTTTTTCATGGAAAGGGTGGTCAGGCATTGGAAGGGGCTGCCCAGGGAGGTGGTGGAATCCCCATCCCTGAAAGTTTTTAAGGAAAGACTGGAAGTGGCACTCAGTGCTTTGGGCTGGGGACAAGGTGGGGATTGGCCACAGGGTGGACTTGGTGACCCCGGAGGGCTTTTCCACCTCAGTGATTCCATGGTTGTGGATTTCCAGCCCAAAATGTCCCTGGCTCCACAACAGCCCTGCTATGGATTTCCACTCCCATGTCCTTCCCAAGGCTTTTCCCAGCACCAATAACCTCGTGTCCCACCAAATGGGATTTTAGGGAGGGGATTTATCTCCAGGGAAGCCCCAGGATAATTAGGAATGGGGGAAAAAAGGAAGCTCCTCTGTCCATCACTTCCTGGCAAATAAGGCAAGAGAAACAAAGCTTTTTGGAGTCTAGGAAGGGAAGGACATCCCTGGCTTTTGCCAGAAGGAACTTCCCAGGCTGTTTCCCAGGAAGGTGGGTGCTGGATTCCCAAAAATTACAGCAGGATCAGGAGCACAAGCAACACTTGGACAGAGTGTTAATGAATGAGTTATTTTCCCTGTGTTTAGTGGAAGGTCCTTAAAAAAAGGGGGGGGGGAAACTTCCAAACAAACCATTTTGGAATAGTTTCTCTTGGAATCCACCAAATTTGCTTAGAACAGAATTCCTGGGATTGTTGCAGCACAGCATCATTCACCTGCAGGGATTTCTGCAGAAACTCCCACCTGTCAAAAGCAGAACAGGCAGGAATAAAAGAATAAGGAAGAACTGAAGGAATGTAAAGCCACATTCCATTGTGTGGGATTCCACTGCTCCCAGTACAAGCCAGTCAGGAATAAATACATTATTCATCTTTATTGAGACGACCAACAGTGGAAATTCCTTCCAATTCACTGAGTTCTCAGCAGAGTGCTTGTGGAATCCCCCTCTGGAGGCTGGAGCAGCCCCTGCATGGAGCAGTTTTTCCTCACTCAGCTCATCTGTGCCAGCAGCTCTTCCAGCTCTGGCCGAGCCTTCAATCTGCTCTTGAAGTCGGCTTCTGTGTGCTGTGGAGGGAGAGAAAACCAGCCAAGGAAATCAGGATTAACAGGAAAAACAAAGGGCTGAAATGCCCTGCGAGTGGAAAGTCACTCAATGCTGGAAAACTGTTGGGCTTCTCACAAACCCCAAGTTTAACCCCCCTGTCCAAAGCGAATTCCATCAAAACAGGGCACAGTGTTCGGGTTTTCTCCCTCAGCTTTGCTCCCAGCTGCTCCACAAAGCTCCTGGGGATTCCAGGGTAAGTGGTGGAGCAATGCTGGAGTGAAACATTCCCTCTGGCCTCACAGGGAATGTGTGGCAGCAAAGGAAAGGAAGCTGCCATCTCCTGTGGATCTGTGGGAGTGGCTGGGAAGTGGCACCAATTAGAGGAGGCTAAACGGGAAAGGAAACACTCATGGGGAATTAGAAGCACTAAGTTTTCATGGAGCAGGGAGGGCCTGCCTCTGGGAGATCCTGGATACCCTAAGCTGCAGGAGCAGCCTCAGGGCCAGGTCTGGATCTTCAAAGGAAATTCCTGACATGGATCATCTCTGCTTCCTGAAAGGCCCTGGGGAATGCAAACGTACCTGTTTCATGAGGAGATGGACCCCCTCGGGCTGGTTACTCTGGATAATCTCCAGGAGGATCGGAGCAAACGTGGAACTCAAACCACTGATCTGAGGGAAGGAATGACAGAGCTCCAGGACAACCCTCCCAGGACAGTTTGGGTTGCAAGGGACATTAAAACATCATCCCATTCCACCCCCTGCCAAGGGCAGGGACACCTTCCACTATCCCAGGTTGCTCCAACCTGACCTTGGACATTTCTAGGGATGGGGCAGCCACAGTTTCTCCAGGAAATCTATTCCAGGGCCTCCCCATCCTCCCAGGGAAGAATTCCTTCCCAATATCCCATCTAACCCTGTGCTTTGTCCATGTGAATCCATTCCCCCTTGTGTTGTCCCTCCATCCCTTGTCCCCAGTCCCTCTCCAGCTCTCCTGGAGCCCCTTTAGGCCCTGGAAGGGGCTCTGGGCTCTTTGAAGCTGTTCCTAAGAGTATTTTTAAACTTTGTGGAATTTTTCCAATCATCCATCCTTAAACATGACTTTTCTACCTCCTATATTAAGTATTCTGCAGAAAATAGGTAATAAATCAGGTGCCTGAAATTACATAAAGCCAGGAAAGCTCTCCCTGCTTCCACTTTCAGTGGAAATCAAATTAAGGCTTTATGCCCAAATTACACCTTTCAGCTCCAACTGTGGAGGGCTTTGGAGAGCCTGTGCTGCAGGAGAACCACAGGAATATCAGGGAACACCAGGTCCTACCTGGACAACCCTCTGGTGGGTGGTAAGGACTGCATCCACCTGCATCTTGGATCCTTTCTCTTCCAGGAACAGCACCTCGTTGGTTTTGGTGGGCATGGCATAGCTGGGGGAGACAGAGGGCAGAGCTGAGGGCAGGCAGGACATTCCCTGTCCTAAGGACATTCCCAGTGCTCCACAGGGATGGATCAGCCATCCAAGGAGATGAACTTTTCAGGAGGAATTAATTATGCAAACAGTGTATCCTTCCTTTCTGGACACACTGAACCGGGTCCAACCTCGGAGGGCACAACTGAAAATCCACGTTTTGGAGAATCCAGCACTGTTGTCATTCCCTCATGGCAACTCAGGGCTTTCTCCCAGTGCCTGCAGCTCCTCAGGAGCACTGCAGCACTGAGGAGCTTCCTCACATCCCTCAGGCTCTAAATCCCAATCTGCTGTTGGGATAATCCTGTCTGGAGATCTGGTGTTTACCTAAAGCATCCTCTGTTCCTAAACTGAAGGAGAGCAGGAAGCTCACCCAGCACCTCAAGGGCTTTCCCAAGTTCATTCCAGCTGGGATAACCAGCGTCACTCACTGCACAGAGCCTGGATCAAACCCCAGCAACGAAAACCAGCAGGAAACGTCAGCAATGCTTAAGCCAGGCTTAAAGCTTGAAACAATATCACTAAACCCAGAGGCTTAAAGCCCTTTTTTTTCCTCAGAGGAATGAGATGGAGCCAGGTATTTTGCTGGAAAAAATCTGAACCTTCCTCGTGTGAATTAAACACACAAAACTGTAGGGACACGCAGAAAGAGAAGAGGGGCAGAGGAGAGGTCTGGATTTACATCCAGATGGGAATCAGAAGGGCTGGAATGTGCCCTGGTCTCCAAGGTGTCCCATACCTCTCGTTGACCTTGATGGAGAGCCTGTTGCAGAGCCTGTGGACATACTGGGCAAAGTGCTCCACCAGGCACATGTCGTAGGAAGTCATCTGGATGTTGACATCTCCATACTCAAACTCGGTGCCAGGATTGATCTCCTTCATCTGCATTCTGTCCTTCTTCCTCTTTGGAGTCTGTTTTCCAAAATAAAACGGGGAGTTTGAGCAACACTGGAAATAAAACCCCACTGGGTTTTTTCCTGTGGGGCTGCTCCTCTGACAGAGGTTTGTCAGCCACATCCCAGCTCCCTCTCCCTGCCTAAAAACTGGGATGGCATTATCCTGACACCTCAGCTCAGTTCCTGGATGGCAGCACCACAGGAAAAATTCCCCACAAAGGAACATGTCCGTATTTTTTAATTTCTTCCAGAGAAAATTAAAAAAAATTTTAAAAAAAAGGGGGAGTAGAAACAGCAGGAATAAAATTCCTTCTGCCTACCTCTGGCGGGAGCAGGTATTTGTACCTCCCAATTCCATGAGTGGGACGGGATCTGTAGGATCTGTGGCAACTCAGGAGAGCAGCACCTGGAAATGGAAGCAGAAATCCTGTCCCGACTCAAGAGCTGGATGTGGGCAGCAGCCACAAGTAAAGAGGGAAGAGGTTAAAAAGTAGTCATTTCCCAGGGGAATTCTCAAGAGAACAACAGAAAAGAATAAAAGAGGCTGTGGGTGGTTTGGGAGACCAGGGAAATGTTACCAAAGAAAAGAAGAAAATCTTAAGAAAAAACCACATGGAAGTCAAAGAGCATGAGCTCAGGTTATTTAACCAGCCCAAGATTGGCTAAAAAAAAAAAAAAACTAAAATCAAAAGGAAACACAAATGCTCCATTTATTTGGATTAAAAGGGGACTTTACCTGCAGCACACAGATGGTTTTCTCTGGGTGTTGCTGCTCTGGAGGAAACAAGACAATGATTAAAAGTTCTGTAAGAAACAAACTAAGGATTAAAAGCTCTGATTTCCCCCACCCGTGGAAAAATATGTGGCAAATGTCCTTTGGCCATTTTGGGGGTGTTTTTAATGCCTTTTATTGTGTTCCACTCCCCGATTTCAAGCACTCACCTGCTAAGGGCAAACAGCTGCCTGAGCATCGTTCCCTTCTCCCAGCACAGCACCTGGAACGGCCAAAACACAAAGACGGTGGCAGATCCTGAGGGAATTTTCACCAACGCCCCCAGGTAACAGCAGGGACAGGACCCAGGGAACAGCAGGAGCTCTGTCAGGACAGGGTGGTTAGGCTGGAGAGCAGCGAAAGGTTGTTCCTCCAGAGGGTGGAGGGGGCCCTGAACAGGCTCCCAGGCCCATTCCTTTCCAGAGTGTCCACCATTCCCGTTCCCATTCCCGATCCCGGTACCTTCGGCACTGCCGCCATCACTCCATCCCTTGGTCCGTCCCTCAAACCGTCCCCCTAATGGGTTCCGGTGCGCCGCGCCTGGATCCCCCCGCCCCGCGGCTCCCGCCCCGCGTTCCGCCCGCTGGCAACTCCAATACCTGCCGAGGCCTCACAGAGGCGGCAGTTTCTGGGCAACCCGCGGTGCTGGCGGGGACCCGCACCCTGCTAGAGGCTCCGAGCAGGGTGGGGGGTGCGGGGGGTAATGGCGGACAGCGCGTCCCTCTGGCCTCGCACACCCCGGGCAGCGCCGCCTGGCGGCCGCGGCTGCGCAGCGCACTCCACCCTGGGCCAATCACCACGAAACTCGCCGGCTACGGCCCGCCCATCGCCTGCTTCTCGCGTGCTGATTGGTCGCTCGCTGCGTCCATCACGGGGCGGCCGCCATGTTGAGTGTGGCTTGGCCACGTGGCAGTGCAGAGTGTGAGTCCGGCGGCCATTTTGAGTGTGGGTCCGGTGGCCATCTTGAGTGTGGGTCCGGCGGCCATCTTGAGTGTGGCGTGGCGGCGGCCATTTACTTCGTCCCTTATTTTTCTTTCTTTCTTTATTTCTAAATTCGGAGCGCAGGAAGGTTGGGCTGGGAGGGACCTCCTCCCCGATTTCCCAGCGGCGGGAGAGAAGGTGGGCACGGGGGTCTGCCTGGGAAGAGATGGGCCGCTGGGTGGTCCTTGGAGCCCCTCTCCCCCAAGCATGGACAGTCTGGAATTGGCTCAGGAAAACCCATCCCGAACCAAACTGCCTCCTCCTGCCTCTTCCACACGAACCGTCCTTTCTCCCAGGCTCTTCCCCGCTCCCTTCTCTGCTGCCTGGCCCCACTTTCCCCTTTCCTTCCACGGGAGATGCTCCAGAGCCCCCATCTCGGAGCTGTTCCTCCTGGGTGGATCGGCTGGAATTTTGCGTGAGGACTGATTCCCACTCCGATTGCTCTTGGCTGGAGCTGTCAGGGCTTCCTGGTGGACTTCCTCCCTGCAGTTCATCTGAGTTCATCCACGTGGCAAATCTCCCCGTGCCTTTGTTTCCTGGAGGGAACCCACCCCACCTTTGCTCCCTCCTCCACGACGCAAGGACACAGATTCCCAGCTCCACGCTGTGTTTTCCCGGCTGGTGACAGAAGTGCCCACGTGGATGTTGTCCTGCCCTTTGATTCCCACCTGGCAAGCCCCAGGCAGGGGGAATGAGCCTGAGCTGGGTTAAGGCCGGCGCTCCCATTCCAGAAAACCCGGGCTTCTCCTCCCAGGGGCTTGGAATACCCAGAGGGAATCGAGGAGCGGCTCCTGTGCCCGGAGGGGACTGGCTGGGCCTGTGTTTTTGGGGAAGTTGTGATGAACATCACCATTCACAGCACATCCAAGATGACTCTTCTATGTCCTCAAATGTTGAATGCCCATGGAATGGGGCTGCACCCCTTAATTCCCACTCCCCCCTCTCTCCGTGACAGCATCTCCCTCCATCTCTCCTGCTCTCGATTTTCCCTGGATACAAAGATAAATAGTGCTGCTCTTGGCAGCTTGTTCTGGTGTCTGAGCACCCTCCTGTTGGGAACATGGCCCTTATTTCCAACTGGAGCGTGCCTTTCTTTGCCTTTTGGATGTTTCACAGCCAGGGAGCAGAATCCCTTGTTGCAGGAGCACAACCTCCCAACCTTTCTGTGACATTTGGAAAGAGAAGCTGAGGTGACTCAATGATTTCCTTTTTTTATGTAATGCGCTAAAAAAACCACCAGGCAGCTTTTTCTACTTTTTTTTTTTTTAAAGGCTTCCCAGGCTGCAGAGAGAGATTGTTTCATCCATCCTCTTCTGCCTCGCTGCAGGTTTCTCCCTGCCAGGGAGCTGGATGTGCCCATACAGCTGGAATTTTGGCACTTGCCTCTCCTCCAGCAGCTCCCTGGAGGAGCAGAGCTGTCCTGGGAAGAGTTGAGATCCAGCACCTGGAAGTTTCCACTTCTTTTCAGGCTTGTCCCGTGACAAATCCAATCCAAAAGTGTTTAAATACACCTTAGAAGAAAACCTCTGGTTTTCTGTGTCTCCTCCTCTGCCTTCAGCCGTTGTTTTTCCATGGGATCTGTGGGAAGGATCCCGGAATCCACCCTGACACATAAACAAGGGCAATATACGTATTTAAAAATTGAAATTATTTGAGGCAGGTCTCTGACAGTGTGGATTCCCCCTGGTGCAGGAGAGCAGCCACACAGCTGGTGTGGAAGCACTCCCAGATGCTGGGTGTGGAGCTGGAGGTGAGCTCCTGCTCAGATCTTCAGTAAAACTTGTTTAAATTTAATCACCTGGTTAAAGACACCTTTTCCTCTGGAAAACCTACTTGATTCCAGGTGGAAAATACCCTGTGGAGCTTGTTGAGTAGATTGTGAGAGATTTGCACCAACACGAATACGACCATGGGGCAGGAGCCCTGTCATCCAGCACGTTCTTGTTTCAGTGGGACATTCAGTGGGAGCAGCAGGTGAAGCCCCAGGAAACCCCCAAAATTACGTTTTGTGTTCACATTCCAGCCAGAGAGTCCAGATCAGGATGGGATTGCACCAGTGTGGGAGAGGAGGGAACAAGGCTGCACTGCCAAGGAGACATCCCAAAGCCAAGGTTTAACCAGGAAGGGCCAGGATGTAGCTGGGAACCTCCTAATGTGCTAAACCTCGAGGGCAAAATAGGGAGAAATGGGAAAAAAAAAAAAAAACAAACAAACTATAAAGGGAGAGCTGGCCCCAAGGGTGGAGGGTCCCCTGCAAAAGGATGAGTGGGAATCACTGACCTTCCCTGGAAAATGTCACCCTGCTCTGAGGGATGTGCTGGGGACATCACAGAGCAAGAGGAGCATCTGTATCCATTTGGGATGAAGCCTTTGGTTTGAAGGACTGTGCCGGTTCCTCCCTGGAGCCCGTGTGGGTTGGGCACATCCCTGTCCTGGCGCTGACGCCAAGGCTGCTTTCGGTGACGTGGTGAAAAGGGGTTTTATTGGAGCTGGAGGACCGGTGGGAGCTCCCACAGCAGCCCAAATGGCCCAGATGTGTGCCAAAAAGGGCTCCGAGGGCTGGATTCCCTCTGCTCTGGGACGCGCTGGGGGTGCTCACCCGGAGAAGGGTCTGGGGAGACCTCGAAGCCCCTTGCAGGGCCTAAAGGGGCCCCAGGAGAGCTGGAGAGGGACTGGGGACAAGGGATGGAGGGACAGCACAAGGGGAACGGATTTACATGGACGAAAATGGGATATTGGGAAGGAATTCTTCCCTGTGAGGGTGATGAGGGGCTGGAACGGATTTCCCAGAGAAACCGTGGCTGCCCCCGTCCCCCTGGAAGCGTCCAAGGCCAAGTTGGAGCACCCTGACTCGTGGAAGGTGTCCCTGCCCGCGGCAGGGGCGTCGGAACGGGCCGATCCCCGACCTGCCTGCCGGCCCGCCCCATTCCCGCCCCATTCCCGCCCCATTCCCGCTCCGTGAGGGCGGGAGGTTCCCAGGGCGCGTGCGCGGGGCGGGCGGAGCGGCGGCTCCGGGAGCGGAGCGGGGGGGGAGGAAGCGGCGGCACCGACAGCGGCACCGGCACAGGCACAGACCCCGGCACCTCAGCGGGCTCCGCAGCCCTCGGCGGGGAGCGGCGGCACCGGCAGGAGGACGAGCGGGAGCGGGAGGAGGGCGCGAAGCAGCGGGAGCGGTCGCGGGTCCCGCCGCGGGGAGCGGAGCGAGCGCGGGGCGGCGGCGGCGGCGGCTCCTCCATCATGTCGTCGGGCGGGGACTTCGGGAACCCGCTGCGGAAATTCAAGCTGGTGTTCCTGGGCGAGCAGAGCGGTGAGTCACCGCCCGCCCTCGGGCCGGGAATGGCGGCGGGGGGGGGGATCCCTCCGGACACCCGCCCGACCTCGGGGGAGCGGGAGGGGACCCCACTCCTCACCCTCGCTGGCACCCACCCACCCTCCTGGGGGTCCTTTTCACTCCCATCCACCCACATACTCTCACAGGGGTCTGAGAGGATCCCCTTCCTCACCCTCCACCTCTATGGGCGTCTGAGACTATCCCCCTCCTCATCCTCCCTGGCACCCACCCAACCCTCCTGGGGGTCTGAGGGGATCCCCCTCCTCCCCTTCCCGGACACCCACCCACCCTGCTGGGGGTCCTGGACACCCACATACCCTCCTGGGGGGTCTCAGAGAATCACCCTCCCTGACACCCACCCACCCTCACGGGGGGGGGTCCCTGACACCCACCCACCCTCCTGGGAGTCTGAGGGGTTCGGCTCTGCTTTAATCTCCCCCCGCAACCAAAGCCTGTCTGATTCAGGAACAGTTGCTGATTCATTTCATCCCGGCCCCTCCGGTTTTTTTTGGGGGGGCAGGAGCCCCAGTCCTCGCTGTTTTCCGTGTAAATACAGCGTTTCTCCATAATGGAGTTCTGTCTTGGCAGAGCAACGCTCTGAATATTTAATTCAGCCAGTGAGGTTTTCTTCCCTGTCTCTGGAATGAAAAAAAAAAAAAAAACAAAAAAACCAAAACCCACCCAACCTAAACGCTGTCTCCTCCTTCCTCAGCGGAAGGCCTCTGTCTCCATTACTGCATTCCACATCTTCCCTTGGAAGAATTTTCTGAAAAAAAAAAAAAAAAAAAAGGCAAAAAAAAAAAAAGCTCCTTTATCAGCTGCTTTGTGTAATCCTGGTGAGATACTGAGCGATCTTTGACATAATGAGGAGGTGCAGAATATTTCTGTCTCAGGGCGGGGTATTTGCTCCCTCAACCACCTTTGGTCTCTGTGTGGCAGATGATGAAATACTTGGATTTTTTTTTCGTGGTTTTTTTTTTTTGGGGGGTGCCAAATGACTTAAAACTTGATATTTCCTCACTCATGTGGATGAGCTTGGTCATTAGGCTGTTACTGAAATTATTCACCTATGCATCGGTTGTTTTCTTTAGTCTGCTTCTTTAATCCTTTTTTCTTCTGTGGTTTTGGGGTTGAAACAGCTCTTTTTCATATCAGGAATTCGGAGAGCACAAGTGCAACTTGGGTATTTATTATTTTTTTGGGGGGGGTAAGTCACCTGATGTACTTGCTGAGGTGATGTTTGGCCAGCCATTTTATGAGGATTTTGGAAGAGGGTCATGTGTAGAAAATGCTGGTTTGTCGTGAGGGTTTTTTTGTTGGTTGGTTGTTTGTTTTCCCCAGGTATTTGACAACAGGAATTTTAAATATTAGCAATGCGTTTGCATAATATTTGGCTTGTTTTCCTGTATTTCTGAGCTTCAGTATCCCGAAGCTTTTCCCTCCGTGGAAGGTTGTGGCACCCGGTGCAGATCTGAAATCTCAGCAGCTCTTTTGCACGTGCCTTTCTCGTCTCTCACAGCAGACATAACATCAGATATCTCCTTCCTGCAGGGATTTTTTTCCCCCCTCTCAGCTCCTCATCTGTGTTTATACTGGGAGGTTTTAAATAATTCCTGGCCGTGGCATGAAATGTAGGGAGGAGAGAAGGGACTCTGTGGGTACAGCAGAGCAAGATGCTCCTGCCTGGATATCCATCCCTGCGACTGCTGCCTTGGCCGGGGCTTGGGGATGGGTGGGAGCTGCTTTGAATCCAGGGCCTGGCCAGCAGCTGCAGTCCTGCCTTTGTCTGGGATGATGGGGATGGATGATTCCATGCCCGCTCCGTGCTCGGCGTGTCCCTGCATCCCGTGGGTGCTGCTGCAGCGTGGGCACGTTCCCGCACGGAGCTCGGGGATGAGTCTGTGCTGGAGACGCGGCTTTTCCTGAATCCAATCTCCTCAGATGTCTCTGCCATGATGTCATTCCCTGCCATTTTTTTATTTTTTTTTTTCCCTGCCCAGGGGGAGCATAGCTCCCATTCCAAATAACCTTTGGAAATAATGGCAGGAGAATATCTCTGGTGCTGCAAAGAAAGGGAGCTGGGGCGGGCTCTGCTCCCACCTTTGTTGGGAAGGAATTGCAGGAATGAAAGTTTTTTTTACAAAAGCAGGTTTTGCACCCGAGGGGATCTTTGTACAACTGTTGCTCTGGGTTGGTGCGTTCTCTCCCTGCTGGAAGGCCATGGTTCAAGGTATCCCACTGGTGCCCGTGGGGAGGCCAGGTGCTCCTGCTCCACGCGCATCCAGGGGCTCCAGGATGACAAATGGGATGTCACAAAGGGCTGCCAGGGCCATGAGCTGCCTCAGCAGCCAGAGCTGGGCACAGCCTCTCCAGCAAATGCTGTGGCTGAGGAAATCTGCACTGGAATTCCTTCCAGGCTCTGCAGTGGTACAGCCTGGGAATGTTTTATTCCCGGCTGGAGTGGGGTTGCATGGTGGATGCAGCGCCTGGTTTTCTCCGCTCCCCTCAGCCATGTTGTGGGAGTCCAGTGCCATATTCCCGTGGACTGCAGTGATCCTACCTCCTTCTGCTGTTCACCACTGGCTGCAGGTTCCTTTTCCTGGGCTGAGATGCTGATTTTCCCTGCTCCTTGCTCCCCAAAATCTCCAGGGTTTTGTCCCCCAGCCCCTCCCCAGCCCAGACTTGCCGCATGTGCTGGGGGAGCATCACGAGCCTGCAACATCATCCGTGTCCAGCCAGGAGAACCTTCTCCTCCTCCTCCTCTCTTCCCGTCCCTGATTTTTTTTTTAACTTGCACCAGCAACTTCCCCAGCGCTGCCCTTAATTGAATTACTCTCCTCAACGATTGAAGATTATACAGAGTGTAGCAGTTTTAAAAATGCTAATCTTTGCTGAAAAGGCGAAGGGAGAGAGCTCTGTGCTGGGGGATTAGGTGGAGCTATTGTGTGTGGGCAAGTGTGTTTCTTGCTGCCTTTCAGCTGCGTTTATTGGGTGGGTTTTATTGGCCCTGATGCCTCAGGTTTGAGGAATTCTGGTTTCTGGGTCACACACATCACCTGTATTGGGGGGGGGGGGGGCTTGCAGAAAATGCGATGCAGATCCAAATGTTAATAATTATTGCATAGCAACACCTCTACTTTCTCATAAATGGTTTGGTTTTTGTTTGGGTTGAGTGGGCAGAACTGAATGCAACAGAAATATTTGAGTTTCTGCTGCAGCTTCCACGGGGTGAGCAGGTCTGAAGGGCAGCAGCCTGTCCAAGAGGACTCCCCGTTGCCTCTCCCTGTGGTGACATTTCTGCACCCAGTAAGGCCCTGGAGAAAATGACAACCATCTTTTCAGTCGGGAAGGGAGAGTTTTGATGTTGAAAAGGCAGGTGCAGGGTAATAACTTGTGGACTGTAACTGCCTGGAGAGCTCTGGGGATCTGTGCTGTTGCATAACTGCTGGTCCAGGCCCTGCTGAGCAGGGTGTGTTTTGTGGGAGGGCTGGAGAGCTGCGGGTGCTTCGCGCGTAACCTGAAGCTGGTGTCGCCCTGCTCGTGGTCCTGCAGGGACTGCCATCCCTCTGCAACTCGAAACTCCCTTGGTTTTTAAGGAATTCTCAGCTTACCAGCTCCAGAGAGCTGTTAGTTTGTCCCTCCTGTTTAATTCCCTGGTGTTGGTTTTCCATTGGATATTTGGGGTTGTGTTTGGACTGCCTGCATTTCCCAGGAGTTGCTGAACTTGGGTTTCTTGGGTGCATATGGAATATCAGCAGTGCATCCCAACAAAAGGGGAAGTCAGGCAGAAACACCAGGGTGGAGGAACGGCATGGATGGACCAGGAGCTCCTGGACAACCTCAGAGCCACAAGGGAAGCCCACAGAGGGTGGGAGCAGGGACAGGTGGCCTGGGAGGAATGCACAGGAATTGCTGGGAGAAGAGAAGGCTCCAGCGGGACCTGAGAGCCCCTTCCAAGGCATAAAGGGGCTCCAGGAGAGCTGGAGAGGGAATTTGGACAAGGGATGGAGGGACAGGACACAGGGAATGGCTTCCCACTGCCAGAGGGCAGGGAGAGATGGGATATTGGGAAGGAATTCCTGGCTGTGAGGGTGGACAGGCCCTGGCACAGGTTGCCCAGGGAAGCTGTGGCTGCCCCATCCCTGGGAGTGTCCAAGGCCAGTTTGGAGCAACCTGGGCTGGTGGGGGGTGTCCCTGCCATCCCAAACCAGTCTGTGGTTCTTTCCCAGTGTAGCCAGCTTGGGATCTGATCCCTCCTCGCTGTCCTAAGGACCTTGAATTGCACCACTGCTCTTTTTCTCCCTCCTTCCCTGCAGCAGTGCCTGTCAGAGAAAAAGGCCTCAGTGTTTTGTGGTGCCTGTTCTCGTGGTGCCTTTTGATCCCTTGGCTATTTGTGGAAGCCTCTAGAGGAGCTGCATCTGTTCTGGAAAGGAGGAGTAGCTGTGCCTTCCTGCACTCTGCTGTCTTTTCTGTCTGTAGCTGAGAAACAGTCTGGGATTTTAACCAAATGATCATCCTTTCTCTTGGTGTGACACAATCTGTTGAGGGGTGTGGTGGTACCTGGCACTTGCTCCGGGCTCCGCAAAGCCCAGGTCTGAAGGTTTTGGGGGAGGTGTAAATGGGATAATGGAGAAGCAAAGGTAAGGAACCTCCTCTGAGGCCACCTCAGCAGGTGATGGAGCATTTGGGAATTGTCAGAGCCCTTTTTTTCAGCTTCACTGATGGTTTAAAACCTGTCTCTTGTAACCAGTTGGGGAGGAAATAGCTGCCTTCTCGTTACCTGGTAATTTAGTGCAGATGTTTAAAGGCTTTTTGTCGCCTTCATGCACATCCAAGTACCTGTTGTGCTCACTGGTGATGATAAAACCCCAAATAACCACCCCACAACGAGCCAACTAAACCTCTCCATGCGTTGAATGTGGCTCAGCAGGAATCACATTTGGCTGTCTCAGACTTTTCCTTGTCAACCTCCCAAA